AAGAAAGAGACGAGGAAAGAGGAAGAGAGGAGGGGAGAGAGAGAGAGAGAGAGGAGAGAGAGAGAAGAGGAAAGAGAAGAGATGAGAGAGAGGAAGATGACGGAGAGAGAGAGACGCACGCACGCACGCACGCACGCACGCGCGCACCCACGACACACACACACACACACACACACACACACACACACACCTGCATAGACACGCATACATACCTGCAAGCCTTTAGGCGACACTTTCACCGTCATGCTGTTACCGAGGCCGCGCTTCTGCATGTTCTTCCAGACGACGCCGAGCGCCTTGTCGGCGCAGCCGTCGCCCTTCGCCATCACCGTCGGCACGTTTCCCAAGTAGTTGACGGAGTACGTCGGCAGCGGCTCCGTCACGTTCAGCGTCTGGCTGCGTTTTCTGAACAAACTCGTCATCGCGTCGTCGCCTGCGTCGGAAGATGCTGTCTGTGAGTGTAGTGAGTAAAGTGCGTCGCCCGCGGATGACGCTACGGACGTGTTAGAGAGTTTTTTTTAGAAATACGAAAAAGTCTCTTGCTCTCTTGTTCGTCCCTCCTCTTCTTCTTCGTCCTTGCTCTTCTTGCCTTCTCTTTCACTCGCACCGTCCGTGCGTTAACGTGTGCGCGTGCGTGTATATGCGTGGGTTGGCTTCGTGTAACGTGCCTGATCCTACGAGTTCGAGCGCCCAGCGTGTACTAGCCGGCACCTGCCACCAGCCGCCGCTGATATAGCGGCAGCAGCTCGCTCGAGCGCTGCGTGCGCTGATTGGCTGATCGCTCCACGAGTACATACGGACGGACGGACGGACGGACGGACGGACGAACGGCCTTGCTTACAGCGATAGAAAATATACGCTCTTATCACGGCCGAAAGAAAGCGAACTTTGTGATTCGTAGTACATTGATACTTGCGTCGGATAAGCGCTCGCAGGTCCCCCGGGGCCGGCTTTAGAAAGAACTGTTTGCTCCCCGATTACCGAATAATCGCAAACATTCCAAATACGCAGTTAGGGGCCCTATGTAGGCTAATCGCAGACGAAGGCATATATATGTAGGCAGGCGAAGTGGAGGTGTTTCTATAATTATGAATAATGTCGGGAGCATGCGTTATTCCAATAAAGCGTTCCCGGTGTAGGATAAGGTATGTCCCCCCTGCACATCCCGTTGCAATAACGTTATTCCAGACTCGATATTGATGGTATATCTGTTGAATTACTCACATTAAATCAGGAGATTAGGACTCCTGATTAATTCATTAACTATATTGCTTCTGGTGCGATGAGATCAATCGTGGAATGCTGCGGCATAAAGCACTCATATAGAGAGACGGAGTGAGAGAGAAAGAAAGGGAGAAAAAGACAGAAAGAGAGAGAGAGAGAGG